CTACAACTTGTACCCAGTTGGGAAAAATATAAAGAGGGAACAGAAATTGTTAGCATTTCAGAGATTATTTTGAGAATTTTTCTGTTGGTACTAAGATTTCACTAATAATATGAGCAGGCTTCCATAAAAATCTAAGCATACAGATGTACTGGCATAGCTGGCTAATATCATGCCACTGCCAACATCCTTTTTGCGCAGTCCGAAGACGCCGACAACAATTAGTGCTAAAATACCCACCAAACTAGAGGGAGCCCAGCACCTGAAGTGCAGGGACCCATCCTCTACACGAACGTCGGGGAGAGAGACGGCAGTAGAGGCGGAAGGGTCAACGGAACCAGAAGTGTTATGGACCGAACGACGGAAAGGACGTTGGAGATAGGTTAGGATGTCGACCGGAGAAAGATAGACAGAAACGCGGAGACTGCGAGGTTCACCAGTGTCCTCTGTCAGGGAGACTGCGCGACGTCGGTGACGCCAGCGACGCAATCGTGAGTCTCTAAAACCCGTCGACGTGGATAATCCTGAGTTGTGACCGCCATTCTGCATACAGCCGCGTGTCCTTAAAGGACTCCTCGAAGGCACAAGTAAGGATGTTAAAGATGATTACGCGACATCATGGTCCAATGTGTGAAGTTTTAACGATAAAACAAATTTCAAAAGGCAGATAGTGCAGTTAATCCCATACTCGTGTTGCTTTGATACATTTATTTACCCACTTTATTGTGCTTCGGTCTACTATTTCAGATCAAATTCAATGATGTGTTCGACTCATTATAGAATTACCAGTGTAGTAGAAATTTAAAGTCCGATTTTTGCACCACACTAGCATTCAGGATCTGTTTACGCCATAACTGAATGCGTACAGGAGAGACCATTTATGCTACGAGCTAAGATTCATGATACCCAAGATCTCCGCCGATTGTCCCATTGTGTTTTACAACAGCCAAGCATGCTAAAGTTCTTTGCAAAACAAAGATAATTCATCATGCCGTAATCTAGCAGTAACGTGCTATGATAGGAGGCATTAATTTGCAGATCCGCACTTTCATTAATAGGCACAACTTTTATGCACAATAGAGTAGATAAAACTATTTACACTCCGACGTCACATACTTGCGAAACACGTACTTAAACAGCTTGTGGGAACTAATCCCATTTCATTCTGAGATGCAAGTGGATTGGCGAAGTTTGAAACAGTAGGGAAACGATGGAATGGTCTTGAACTTGAGATAATTATATTCCTTTCCCTAGTCCATAAAGGGCACTAAAATTGGATAGGATGGCTTTGGAACAGATGATGTCGTGTTATAAATAAAGTGTTGGAAGGGAGAGGACAATATCTGTCAGAAACCCAACAGCGGATCAGTTTATTTGTTTGTAATCAGCGAATGCTCTTCAGCTGAAACAACTGGTAGAAGCTGAATCGTGACAATTCAAATTCAAGTCACATAATAATTCTCTAAAGCTTGGTCGATAAGACTCTTAGCACAAGTTCTACCTTGTTGGAGGAGGATTGCTTAGCTTTCGCCAACCATATTTTTTTTGCATATTGGTTGCTCGCCAATTCATGCCAATCTGAATACGGTAAATTGTCTTATAAGAAGATATCACTAAGCAGATGAGAGAGCATCTCTTTTTTCGTGTTGTCCAGGTTCAAGCATTAGTTGTCAGACCTTATCATTCGGAGAATACTTTGAAACATGTGAACTAAAGATTTATAACTCTAAATGCTTAACTGAAATGTGAGGATAACAAAGGTTTCGCCCCTCTGTAAACAAAAAACCCACATTTTGTGCTAATTTAGTAGCAAACATCACAATTATTTTCAGAACAACGCAGCGCCCATTTCATCCGAGTTTATTTGCACATGACAAAATTGAAGAAGGTTTTTATGACGTAAATGAACCTTGTTACGAATATCGGAGATGTTTCGAAAAATGCCGCAGGGCGAAGTGCAGAGAACAGATTCATTATATATCAAACGACTAAGCAATGCTGGAACATGAAATAACCCATTTAAAAACGACTCAAGGCATATCAACGCATAATAACATCTGTAGCATTACAAACAATTCAAATATGAACAGTGCAGAGTGATGAAGAAGTTTTTTGTGTAAAACTTACGACTGAGCGATACAAAGGGCTAATTAGTGTTGCAACACATCACGTACCGACGCCCTTCAGCGTCGAGTCGATAATGCAAACAAATGCGCGGCAATGGCATCAGCAAAAAAGAGAAGTATGACCTCGAACACTATGATATGCGAAACCAGAGCAGGAATGACCCGACTTTGTTGTTTGGAAGCATTAAAAATTGGCAAATCACTTCAAACGACTGTAAGCAGGTATCTCAATAGCTAACCAAATCAAAAAGCTGCAAATCAAAACGATTTTTATGCCATTTTTTAGCAACAAAACAAGAGGACAAGAATAACCATCCCTGATCCTGAGGTTACAAAGCTAGACTGGAATTAATGTTTGGGTGAAGTTAGCTGAGGAGTCACAAAAGGAATGACGCACCTAAACGACTTTCAGCAATAGACTAACTAAAGTGTGAGAATTAGCCCACTGAATGACATCGTAATCAAGACAAAAAGAGTAAAACCAGCAAGTTTCAGAAACAATGCACTTAGTACCTTGACAGTCATGATTGCCAGCCACGAAAAAGTCTTAAATGTGTCTTAAATATTGTTATGAAATATGCATTCAGAGAATAGAATACATGCTTACGGGGCTTCAATCTCCATGGAATGTTTGCGCGCAGACCGCAGAACAAACTCCTCCGCGTTAGTGCGTGAAGGTGCAGAACTGGGAAGAACCGAGGGAGTGTCAATGTCATAAAAGAAATTTTCGGCTGATGCAACAATATCCTCGGCCAGCTCAAACTGAACTGGTTCAGAGTCGTCATCCGGGATACCCTGAATCTAAAGAAAAACAACTATACTTAATAGTAGAGTTTGTGTAAAGCATGAATGAATGAAGCACAGAAAGAACCGTGTCCGCACCGGGCCACGACGTCTCATCGATGCTTTGGCTTTTTGTTCAGCGAATCTTTGAAGCGCTGCATCAAGACCACCAATATCATCTTCTGCGGTAGATGAGAATGTTAGTGAGTTCAAAACATCGAACTCCTGATTGCGATGCATCAGATCCGTTAACCTCCGAGATGACATTAAAGCGGAGACATTACAGAGAGGAGTACACTACACAAAAAACGAGGAAACAATATTGATGCCGCAGATAAAACTCGACAGCATCGTCTGTGAAAATAGGAGCTAATGTTCGTATTCGCCTTAAAAAAGGCCTGAGTTCAAGCAAAAGAAGGTGATCCTTGATCATGAGTTTTACCAATCATCAACTAATAGAACGTGAATGCAAGTAGTTGAATGATTCAGTCTACCAAATAAGACCACAGGTTACAAAGAAAATAGATTTGGGTAAAGAAAGAAGGACACAGTGATACAAGAGGGATTATATGCATTAAACGGATACACAACAACTTTAGCCAGCAACGACGTACACCGAGATAGCATTGGCGATTCTACTGCATGTGGGCCAGGGTCATGTGGGCGATGTTCAACCGAACAATCAGGTACACTTAATTAATTAATCAATTTTTCCAGGACGAAAAAATTACCTACATATATTTCAACAAGAAAATTAACTCAACAACAAACGTCTTACAGTTTTGACCAAGGGAATTGTCAAAATATTATACTTAAGTGTTAAGTCAACATATTAATCCTTACTACTGCGAAATTCTTAGCATTTAGAAGCTTTCCATTAAGCAATGAAAAGGAAACTTATATGACCTTTTGCAGCCCTCCAAGACTTTCCATGGGTTGGAAGAAAGCAGTGCGTAGAGCTGGATATATATTTCGAAGGGAACAGAGCAAATGGGCCTGAGCATGGCCCGAAGGCCAGCTCTCAGGTACAAGGGCTAGACAAATCCTAAAGTGACCGTCAAACTCCAGGTATTCACGTAAACAAATCATTACAGCCTCAAAACGGAAATCCGGGGCAGGATTGTGGTTTAGAAAAGAAGTCCAGCCTTTCAGGGAGGGGCTAAATGACCCCTGAAGAAATATCATTTTTACAAACAGTCTGAAGAACAAAGCTTGATTATATACTGCTTTGCTTACGCGACCATCTATCGTTTGGCTGCCGCTCTAAGAGGTGTCTGGCCCTTGTACGCGTAAGCTGGCCTTCGGACCATGCTCAGGCCCAGTTGCTCTGTTCTTCTTGGAATACATGTATCCAAATCTATTTACTGCCTTCTTCTACATGGCGGCGAGCCTCGGGACACTAAGGAAGACATCAAGTTGGGTAGAATATGTATATCCTACGAAAAGAAGAATGAGTAATGCGTTGCTATGGTCCAGAAACCAAGATCAAACTGATAACAAAAGTAACCATCAAACATTATGCGATCTTACAAATGAAGTTTAGTACTGCCACTTTCTGCTGTTGACCGTCAGCATCAGCGTTTACTTTACTACACCTCCAGCACCAGCCATTGTAATACTTTGTATATGTGACCATATGACACTTGGCAGTCACTTTAGGATTTGTCTGACCCTTGTACACGTAGGCTGGTCTTCGGGCCATGATCGGGTGCATTTGTCGTGTCGTATTTAGAATCCATGTATCCAGTTGCACTTACTGACTTCTCACACTGACCAGGAATACTCGGGACACTACATTGGTGGCAGCGGAAAGCGAACTCGACGTCTTTTAACGACTTTTAGATATAAAGTGCATTTAAAGATCTGATTTTAGCCGAGGTGGGATCTCTCTCTGCTCGTGGGGCTTTCTCGTAGTACTGAATATGTTGTGATGGCTGGTGTGGGAGGTGTACCAAAGGAGAGCGCAGAGGACATCGCTCAAAAGAAGAGAGGAGCCGTATAATTTTTTGTTTATGCGTCCACATTGGTCCTGGATACGTAGCTGGCTTACGGGCCATGCCCAGGCCCATTTTTTCTTCCGTCCTCGAAATGCATGTATCGAACCTCACTTACTAACTTCTTATACCGGCCGGGAAGTCTTGGGACGCTACGGCCATCACAATATTTTTGGCAGTGCAAGAAGGCACTCTCGAAACAGCTGCGTCAGTCATTAGCTGTCACGAGACTGGGGAACGTACTTTGTCTCCGTGGCATCCATAGTTAAGCCTGGAGTCGCGTTTGGAAGGCACCCTACCACATGCAGCTAAGAGCAAAATTATCGCAAAGTAAGCTTAGGTTATACAAAAAAGAATATCAAAGGTGGATTAATGTAGTCAACGGGTCCTTATATTGTTTTGCCCTATTAAATGCGAATTTTGTGTTTAGCAACAGGGTTTTACTAAGAGATGTTGGAGTTTAAAGTCACTTCGTGTGCCATTGTTGTGATTTAAAGCAATTTTTTAATAAAATTAAAAAATATTACTTTTATTATTAAAGGATGTTTCAAATGCGTAGTACTATAACGTGAGCTGGCAGAAGTATTGCAAACCCTGTCGCTTGTCTTATTAATATAAGCTCATAAGCAATTTTTAATCGCACTCAACATTAGTTTTTTAGCTTAACATTTAAATCTTTGCAAACATTAACTTTTTGCTTAGAATGTGTGTTCGTATAGTCTTTTCGATTGGTCGCGTATTTAAAACTTTCGCTGGCTATTAACTTTCTGAATTACTGGTGCTGATGTCGAACCTGTATGAGGTACATCCTGGCGTTTTTTTAGTGCAGCTATGATGTCTAGGAAGTGCAGTTATGGAAAACGCCTGGTGAAAGGGAAAAGTGAGCAGATTTTATACAGTCATGTGAATGAATGATTTTTTAACCTTTTCCTACTACTGAGTAAACGGGTCTTCAACTGTAATATTTGTTGGTGGTGTCACTCGAATGGATTTTCTTCTCTATGTCAGTCTGGAATGTTGCTGTTCTTAATTATTTCTCGCTATTCTTTTATTGTGTTCGCCCGAAGGTACTAAATTTTGTAACACAGTTACCTGTACCTTTTCTTACCTTAGTGTTTGGGCTCTTTTGTTCTATTCTCTTCGTTTCGAATGTACCTATCCTTGTGTTTTTTAACTAGAAACTCTTGCATATACGTACATAACTTTTCAATAACTAGGATCCGTAATCTTGCTGAGGTCTATGCACTTATTAACACACTCCAGTTTCTTCAGAAGGCCTACATCAAGGATTGCATTAAGGAAGAAGAGTAAGTTATTATTGAGTAATTTTGGGTAGTCTTCATCACCTCATAGTTTCTACATCCTTTTTGCTTGATTTTAACTCAGTTATTTAGTCGATTAAAACTTCGTAACCTTTTGCTATCGATTAAAAAAACTTGTATTCACTATTTGCGTTTTTGTGGGGGTTTCTGTTTGATAAAAGAGACAGATGCGTGTGATTAGCTGAATTAAACTCACATCCTTTAATTTTCATTTTGCAAATTAATTTCTTAGGTACGTT